CAAATACTAATACATGAAAATCCTAACCTCAAAAAAATCACCCGTTAAATATGAAATCAGGTCAAATGTGGCACAACATTTTAATGAGCTTCCGAAAATTTTCCCATTGGGAGAATTAAAATTATAAAAGCGTTGAGAGTTGAGAAATGAATGCAGAAATATGATACACAAGTGCATATGTATGTATGTATGTTACTGGATTAAATTTTATGAAGCATGCAGTGCAATTTGTGAGGATAGCAGAGTACAAATGAGAAGTGTATGCAATAAAATACCGGAGAATGTTTGCAACAAAATTTCAAAAAATCAGCATACATTTTTGGAAATTGCACTAGTTATGTAAAAAGAAAAAACACAAAAGCAGTCGCCTAAAATAAATAACTATTAAAAATCTATAAAATTTTGTATGCTATAAAACTGCATAGCCCGAAATGCATTAAAGATTCAGCTTAAAAAGTTTGAAATTTTGTTGAAAATTTGTTGAATTTTCCTAAAGTTAAAGCTTAGACAATATTTTTAAAGAACAACAATAAAGAAATATTAACTTGAAAACCTTGTGAACATCAAAGAAAACATCATGACATGGTCACTTGCTTATATATTTAGTTCAACTAAATATTTACTTATGTAGGAATATGTGTGTATTATATACTTTTTATTCTAAATATATTTACGTGAATAGTATAATTAACTATTTTAGTTGGGCATATTCATAAATCATGGATAGAGTATAAAGCACAAACCCTTTGAGGTTATGATCAATTTTGATAATTTTAACAATTTAAACGCCTTCGTGAGGCAACAAACTTTTCCGGTTGTCAAATGGAAAGTTACTGAAAGGGGCCTATTATTCATTAACTGAGTGAATTTTTAAAAATAATGAAGCGTATTCTTGTTTTCGTACGATTCGAAAATTTGAAATTTTTGTATAGAAAATGATAAGAAATTTTCATTTTCATACACGTTGCGATGTACTTAAACCCGTTACATTTTCTCTTTGGCGCAGTTAGATCAAGACATTCCCTGATAGAAAATTATTATTGGCCTCCTCGTCAGCGTTGAGTCGATCAAATATTGGGGCGTATTCTTGTTTTGGTACGAATCTAAAATCTTGAAAATTTATTTTATTTGCCTTTTTGCATTGGTTCCCCAGTATCGGAATTGGGAATTGCTCACCCGTAGAGAAATCTGCTTAATTGAGTTTGTTGGGCGGTGCGTTGTGAAACTCTGTAATTCGTGGCTATTATCGGGAGGCCAGTGCCGCGTGATGGTAAATGAATACTAATTTCTCTTTGGATTATTCCAAAATTGAAAACAACGCCACTGCTTCGCATTCATCCAAACAAGATCTTGCCTTTGCCACTTCATCATCCGTCTCATTGCCTTCAATGTTTCTATGTCCGTGAGCCCAGAAGAGTTAAACCATAATTGACTCAGACGCTGAGCGCAATTCCATTTTTTATTTCTTAACCAGCTTCGATTTTGGTAACCGGAGGTACTATTGCCATATTGTTGCTTTATTTCTGAACCCGACTCTTTCACCTAAAACTTCCGCTCGAAAGGCTGCTTGTTTCCTTTCCCCACCATAGAGACAGACCAACACCGAGTTCTTCAGAGTAGACTCCAGCTCTTTCACAGCAACCCATCTTGGCTTCGTCGGTATATATGAAGATGGCCTCACTATCGGCTACTACGGATGGGAATCGCACACTAGCACGTTACTCACGAAAAATGCCAACATTATTTATAGTCTATCGTTCTTCCTAAATAATAGCTTTTCTTTAATCACCAACCCGC